TACAGACCAGACTGACTCAGACATCCTCCCCTGAGAAGAAATCTGGGGAGATAGACCTAACCAATCTCCCTGAAAAAGAATTCAAAATAAAGGTCATAACCATGCTGATGGAGCTGCAGAGAAATATGCAAGAGCTAAGGGATGATGTCCGGAAGGAGACTACAGAAATGAAACAATCTCTAAGGATGCAAAGAAGCTGGAACTCTCATATACTGCTGGTAGAATGTAAAAATGGTGCAGCTGCTTTGGAAAACAAATGGGCAGTTCCTCAACAAGCTAAACATGTAAACAGAGTTAACACAATGAACAAGCAATTCCATTCTTGGGTATATACCCAGGAGAACTGAAAACAGCTGTTCACACAAAAACTTGTACATAAATGTTCATTAGCAACATAGTTCCTAATAGCCAAAAAGTGGAAACAACCCAAATGTTGATCAACCATGAATAAACAAAATGCTGTACATAGTATAATGGAGTATTATGCAGCTGTAAAAAATACTAATAGATGCTAAAAATGAACAAGCTTTTGAAAATATTATTTTAAGCAGAAGAAGCCAGACACAAAAGGCCACATACTGCATGATTCTTTGATATGAACTCTCCAGTAAAAACAAATCCATAGACACAGAAAGTAGATTAGTGGCTGCCAGGGGCTGGGGAGAGGACAGAATGGGGAGTAACTGCTACTGAGCATGGGACTTCTTTTTGGGGTGAGGCAAATGTTCTGGAATTCGATTGTGGTGATGAATGCACAACATACTACAAACCACTGAGTTGTATCCCTTAAAAGAGTACATTTTATGGTATACGTATTATATCTAACTTTTTAAAAGTCAAATAGTCCTTGTTTGTATCCTGATTTTTGAAAAACCAATTATCAAGGAAAAAAATGTATGGTACCGGGGCAAATGAGTACTAATTTGAGATTTGGTAATCTTTAAGAATTATTACTTTAGGTATAATAATAGTATTGCAATTATGTTAAAAAGAAAACAAACCAAAAAAAGAACTTAAATTTTAGGATATATTTAGAAGAATTATAGACAAAATAATTTGATGTCTGGGATTTGCCTCCAACTACTTCACTTGGGGAGGTATAAGTGAAATAAGATTGGATATGTGTTAAAGATTGTTGAAACTGTAAGAAGTTCATTCTACTATTATCTCAACATTTGAATATATTTTAAAGTTATCTATATTAACATTTTGTTTCCCTCTGGGAAGAAGAATTGGGTGGAAAGGATATATAGGTAAAAGGGAGACTTCACTCAATGTCCTTTAAAAGTAAATTCTAGAGCAAAAAGCCCACCATTAATGGTGTTCAGTAGATACACATTTTAAATTATATTTACAGATGATTCATTGAGTTTAGCTCTGAGTCTCAATCTCAGAGGGAATCAGGAGTGGACCTGAAAACATTCTTGAACTTCTCATTTCTGATCCAACTCCCAGGAACACTAACCTTTACTTACAACTTTGTGCTACTTAATACAATACCAAGTTTGATCACATAAAAGTAACCACCAAAGAAAGTACATCCTCCTGAAGACTATATTAAGTATGTAAGCTCAATCCAATCCGACCATCAGTAGGAGCCAGGCATTCTACCTCTCACTGGTAGCTAGCCTGCTATCAAGAAACATGACATTTGGAGGAGATAGAGAAAAACCTTTTGTAAGCAAAGGTGATATGACCAGGGCTTTGGCTTTATAAGCACTCCTGGGAGAGTACATTTGTCATTTATTCAGTTCCATTAGTTTCTAACATATTACTTTATGAGGCAGCTGACATAGTCT